TGGTAAACAGTCACATCACTTCTTTCAAAGCCTGTCAGTGATTGGTCACTGTGCATCTTCACACAGAGATAGCGAAGTGTGTAGCTGTATTACCACCATGTCTCATATATACAATCTTTTTTGTCAACTGCATTAGTCTGTTTTGTGTTGCTAACTGGGTAATTTGTAAGGAAAAGAGGTTTATTTGGCTTATGATTCTGGGACAGCTGCATCTGGCATGGGCCTCAGGCTGCTCTACTCGGCGGAAAAGTAGCAGGCTGCCGGCAGGTACAAGCAGATCACATGGCGACAGGAAGCAAGAGAGAGAGAGAGGAGGTGCCAGGGTCTTTTTAAACAACCAGCTCTCGTGGGAACTAATAGACTGAGAACTCACTCATTAATCCCCCCTCCCCCAGGGAGAGCATTAATCCATTCATGAGGGATCCGCCCCCGTGACTCAAACAGCTTCTAGCACTGCCACATTGGGGATCAGATTTCCACATGAGTTTTGGCAGGGACAACACATCCAAACTCTATCATCAACTAAATAAAATAAAATAGTTAAGGATGTTGGCTGTAAGCCATAGTGAAATGGAAAGAGAATTAGAAACAGTACTTATGACCTCCAATGTCTACACTTCAACCTTTTCCAAACAAATGTTCCACAGAAAACTGCTCTTCAGGACATTCATCAGCAGGCCTGTTCCTGATATTTATGAGAACCAAGTCAAGAGTATAAATTGAAGCTTCATATCATATGAAAATATTTAAAAGTAATAAATCAAGCTAACATATTATTAGATAAAATGTTTTCTACCCACTTACTTTAACAAACATACCTTCAGATGATAAAATTGAAAAATGTGTAAGCAGCTATGGTCTTTATAAGATTGAAAGATAACAAAAATCAAAGATGATAAATTTAATTATTGTGCATATCTGTCTGTTTTGTTGATGGTCCAGTGATGTTTGGGTAAGTAATGAAAGCATACATGGTTTTAAATAGAAATATATATATATGTGTACAGACACATACATGTATGCATTATGCCTACAATTTACATAAAATTCTTTTGGAAAGATCAACAAGAAATTGGTAAGTAGTTGTTGCCAGGCATGGAAACGGTGCACTGAAGGTCACACCAGGGGGAAAGAGACTTACCTTACTCTTGTTGATATCGTTTTGTAGTTTGAATTTTTTACAGTGTACACATATTAGGTTTTCAATTCTAGCCTAGTTAATGTAGCTGCTTTTTTAAGTGCTAGAAATTAGAAGCTGAGACACTATGAGGTAAGAAACATTTGGATCCACAGGGCTTGTAAATGGCAGAGCTGACATGTGTCTGGGCGCCTAGTTAATGTAGCTGCTTTTTTAAGTGCTAGAAATTAGAAGCTGAGACACTGTGAGGTAAGAAACATTTGGATCCACAGGGCTTGTAAATGGCAGAGCTGACATGTGTCTGGGCTGTCTGACTTCAAAGCCAGGGCTCTATGACATTGTATCACAGTAGTATTTGGGATGTATTGATCAGATAATGAATGTTTCTAAAAGATGACATAATCATAAACATTTGTGTTGTTTTTTACAGATTGTGATTTTTTTTAAAAAGAAGCCGTACAAATTATCATAAAGATTCCAGTAGTCTATGCTTCTCCTAAGGTGTGCAGCTTCCCTGAGCTTGTCAATGATTCACGAGGAAAGAGATTTATTTTCCTAAAACTCGCAGTAATTTAAGATGATTTTCAGTAATAACAATCAAATGAAAGAGCTTTATTATCTTTGGTGTTAGATTTTCTGCTTCAAGAGAAAATTTTCTTATGTCATTTCAACATTTTCTTAACTATGAGGATATCATAGTATGCTGGTTTGTTGAATCAAATAAAAAGAAATGTTACTGAGTACTTCTTAAGTAGTTTTGGTTTGCTTTTCATAGCATATTGGCCTTATCTACTAAGGCTGAAAATATACCTACCCCATGACCCGGCATTTCATCTCCTAGATATAGGCCCAACAGAAATGTGTGAGTATGTGCACCAGCGGGCATGACAAGAATGTTCATAGTAGTAGTAGTCATTATGGCCCCCAAACTAGAAACCCAAGTGTTCGTCTCCATTGGAATGGAAAAATAAACTTTGATCTGTCTGTTCAATGGCACATCAACCCAACACTGAGCTTTAGATCTAAGTATAGTCGTACCACACCCATTGAGGGGTGCCGTTGGGGGACAATCTGCCCATCCTATGTGTTGACAAGCATCAGAATTGAATGGATCCCTCCTCATTCAAAGATTGGTGAGTAGGAGAAACAATAAATGAACAAAAGTATCAACAACAAAATCCACATTAAGCCAATTGAAAAATTTACAAAGGAAAATCTATGTCACTTGGAAAACAGAATAAAATCCTATCTTAGAAAATCTCATATAAGAAACCAGAAAACTTCCAGAAACATCTGCATGACGTGTTTAGGAGGAGGCAAAAAGAAAAGGCCTCTTCAGAAACTGAAGTAGGGAATAATAGGAATAGACAAGGCCAAAACACAGACAGATGTAGGCTGAAAAGAAAAGAAAGCTGGCTAAGATGAACAAAAATGCAAAAAGATTAAAATTTCAATAACAAAGTGTATACATTCATTTGGATGCAGTTAAAAGAATAGAAATATCACAGCAGAAAATAAAATTGGTGATGTCGGTGATAAATTTGTTAAATGTGGAAGGAAAACCCAATATGGAAGAGATATCCAATAGAGAAGGAAAGGGCAAAGAGATGAAAATGACAGAGATTAGCCCTGGATGACCAACCCCACAAGCAATAGGCGTTCTTGAAGAGGATACAGGAATAAATAAAATAGAAACAATAATCAAAGTTTAATAAAGAATTTCCTGAGCTGAAAAAAACACCTTACTATACAAACTTGAAAGAGTTCACCTTGTCCTAGGAAAACTGGGATTGGGAAACTTTTCCTCCTGAGGATCACTGACAAGCAGAAAAGTACCGCACCAGTAAGGAAGCAGTTGAATTTTGTATTGTTCCTTAAAAAAATACTAATCTGAACTAGGTAAAGATTATACTATTCACTTTTGAAATAAAACATCAGGAACACAAAATGAAAAGTGAGGTAAGGTTGATGGGATAGAAGGTAGGAGGCGGAATGCTATACAGCAGAGAACAGCAGACTTTTTCTGTAAAGGGCCAAATAGTAACAACTTTAGGCTTTGTAGGTCACTTGGTCTCCATTGCAGCCACTCATCTCTGCTGTTGTAGGGCAAAAGCAACAACAGATAACACATAAATGAATGAACATGACTGTGTTCTAGTAAAACTTTATTTATAGGGCCCGCCCTGTGGCTCACTTGGGAGAGTGCGGCGCTGGTAGCGTGGAGGCTGCGGGTTCAGATCCTATATAGGGATGGCTGGTGCACTCACTAGCTGAGCGTGGTGCAGACCACACAATGCTGAGGGTTGTGATCCCTTTACCAGTCAAAAAAACCCAAAAAAACAAAACTTTATTTATAAAAGCTAGCAGGCTGGATTTGGCCCATGGGTTGTAGTCTGCCCACCCCTGCTATATAGCGATGAACTAAAGTTGAAATCAATATGTACTTTGAGAAAGGATTTAAAGTGGCTTCTAATAATGAAACTTAGGATATTTTCCAAAAAAAAATCTTTATCCTTATGCAGTCTTCTAAAATTAAGTCTTGTATTTAGACAACCAAGGGAAAACAGAAAAATAAATGTTATTATATTCTCATTGACTAATTAAAGTTTACCAGGAGAATAAAACTTTTTCCTGGTATTGGCAACCTTTTACTTATAATGGCTTGATTTAAAACACCCCAACTTTTATAACCTTTGCTTTTAAAAATAAAACACCTATAGTGATGAGAAAAAGTCATTTAAAGCCGTGTGATCATGGCATCTGGAGCCACATAGTGAATAGGGACTAAACTAGTACAATCAATAGCAATACAAAATCACAGTGAACTGTTTACTGTGATAGAAAACTTTACTTGCATGGATGTACAATCAGATATAGTGAACCCTTGTGCCTTTTAGCAAAGACATCACCTCTCTTCAAAATGCTTAAGAATAGGCAAGTTAAAATCCAAGGAAAGGGCCGGCCCGGTGGCGCACTGGATAGTGCGCTGCTTGGGAAGCGTGGCGGCGCTCCCGCCCGAGGGTTCGGATCCCACATACAGACCGGTTCCTGCTCACTGGCTGAGCGAGGCACGGGAGCAACACCGAGGGTTGCGATCCCGTTGCCGGTCCC